AGGCGCGCTCGGCGAAGATGCTGGAAGCAGGCGCGTAAGAGCCCAATCTCGCGCAGCGTGAGCGTGGGTGCAGAGACGTGGCCACCAGATACCTGCGGGGTCTCTAGATGGACGCCATATCCCTCGCGCGCCAAGCCTTCCAAGAAGGAGTCGCAGACGAGGACCTGGCGCATGCTTGTGGCAAACCACTTCCTCGCTCTTGTCCGTGATTGAAAAGGAAGCGAAGACGACGTGCTGCGGATAACAATCAGCTCTACTCTCTCGACGCTTATAATGCGAGAAGGCGCCCTGACGATCTCAGGACGCGGGTGCTAGTATCTATCCAGGTCATACTCTCCAAGCGACACGCAGCAACGACATTAGTGCGCTGGTTATAGCGTCTTCCGTGCGTCGTCGAGCGTGTCAATTCCGTCGACATGGTTGACCCTTTATAATTGGCGTTCGCCAATTACGACCATCAAAAGCCATATTTTGGGGTGCCGGTAGCTCACTGCCTCGAGGAATCGACAAAACGAAGTTTTAAAATGAAATCGCCCCTACTCACCACAGTTGTTGGCAACGCTTTGGTGAATACGAAATGCAACGTAGCGTCGCCGTTGGAGCTCTGCAGCGAGAGCAATGACGGCGACAATATTTCACATTATTTCGTGAAATCCGAATTAGTGTACTAACGAGAGCAGGGCCATATCTCGCGCATGCGACCTTCCCTTCACCAAGTGCAACACACTCTTTCTCATGAAGGAAACGAGATGGCGTCCTCCGTTTCTGCGATTTCAACGCGTTTCCTACCGAAATTTGATGTCAAATTTCGTAAAAACTGACGCTCGGCAGTTTAAGTTTGGTGTGAGCGCCCAAGCAACGCCGCCGCCCAACAAACACGTCGCAGCCCGGGTCGAGATCCATCGCTAACTATGGCTGCCAAAATGGGGGTCGTTGGAGCGTTCGAACCCTGTGATGCCGTGTAAAGTATTTGGGCAATTGGGTTGCCACCTCAAAAATGAAAAATGGTTTTCCGCGTGATGGCACCCGGTTCAGCGTCGGAAACGACATGAGCATCGTACAAGGAGTGTATATAGAGGTATACACCGCTGCTACGGGGCGCTGGTGCGTCTGCGTGCAGGCCATTTCGGTTGTGGACACGATTAACACTATTTACAAGCCGTGGTCTGTCGCACTTCGTTGTAATTACTGTGAAATATAGGCCACGTGTAGGTACACTCCACCTAGTCACTACTGGTAGAGAGAATCGGCGAGTAGTTCGAGGCGAGGCTGGTTTTGAAGGCTCTAAACTGCAGATTTGGCACCAAAATCCGCCAAAATCATCGCTTGGATTGACACGCATACCAAAGCTAGTTCCAATTGGCTGGATCAACGCAATTTTACTGCATGAAGAAGACTGACCAAGCACCACATAGGCAGAAATGTTGCGTTTTATTAGCGGTACGAAAACACACTGGACATCTTTCAGATGGCGAGGGCTACGACCGACGTTCTCCACGTCACTGCGAAGAGGAGCAAGCATCCTACGTGGCTGCACACCGACAGTGACAGGCAAACCGGTCAAGCACGACGCCCTGCCGCCATATCAGGTGTACAACGGAATCCATCCGGACGTGTTGTCGTCCAATGCGCAAACACCAACTCCAAGCCGACCACGTCAAGACAACCTGTCCACAATGCATCACGACAGGGTGTAGTGAGATGTATATAAAACATCGTTTTCGAGCACAGTCAAGTGGTTTTGCTGTCACGACGAGCCCGTTTGGACGTAAACTGCGTCTTGAACATGGTGTGAAGCGAGAAGCTCACGAGTGGCTTCAAGGCCGAGCGCACTTGACCCGACTTGAGCCGCGTTGGTGTCGACAATTTCGGCTCGAGGAGTGCACACACGTGCGCAGCGGTCGGGCGCAGTGACGGGTCTTGCGCCATGCAGCTTAGTGCAAGCTCCCGATACCACGGCGCACACGTGGCACTGAGCTCAGGTCGAAGCAGTCCTTTGCTCACTTGGTCCATCGTCACAAAGTGGTTTTGTCGGAGGTAGCCGTACGGCGGCAGGAGCGTATCCAGCTCGGTCAAAAGCACGCCAAACGAGTACATGTCGGCCGAGGTGTCGTAATAGTCGCCGCGAATGACCTCGGGCGCCATCCAAAACATGGAGCCGGCGCCTTGCGTCAGCACAACATCGGGCGAGGTGGGCGTGGCCAAGACAAAGTTACCGAGCTTGGCGATGCGCGTCGAGCTCCAGAGCACGCTGAGCGAGCTCACAAACCGGTGCACAAGGCCTTGGGCGTGCAGCGCTGCGAGCGCCGAAGCAATCGAATGCGCGATCGTGAGTGTGTCGAGCTCGACGCGCGTTCGGAACCGCCGACGGCTGTCGAGGTACGTCCGCAGCGCGCCGCCGTCCATGTATTCGAGCACGAGCTGTGGGCGTGACGAAGCCACGTCGACGACGCCGAGCAGCTGCACAATTGTTGGCACATGGGTCAGCCTACACGGTTAATGTGAGATTCATGTGTACAGAGAATAGCGTCACTGGACCGAGAGAGAAGCAGCACACAGTGGTCGAATTTGTCCCGGCGGTCCATGAACGTTTGGACAGCAACCCTTGTACCGTGAAAGGTGGCTGCGTCCACAAACCCATATGGACCGGCGCCGAGACGACTGCGCTCGAGTAGCTCGGTAGCGTCAAAGATGGGGACGTCCACGTCTACAAAAGACGTCGTCTGTCATCGTGTCGACTGGAGATGGATAGAAACCTGGCTCGGGGTTGTAGTACTGCGTCTCGATGGTCAGTGCTTCGCCCACATCGTCCTCGAGAGCGAGTGCACTCTGCTCTACCATGGGTGGCGGCAGCACAGCCTCGAGCTGACTCGCGACGTGCTTGGCCGACGGTCGCGCGTCGGCGCCATGGGCCATGCACAAGGGAGCCCATTCTCGCAGCACGCTTGGCGCCACCGGTGGAATCGGTCGCGGCGCAAGGTCGCCGGCGATGACCTTGGCGATCGTCGGAAACGGATTGCCGGGCGGCGCGTCAAAAGGCGACTCCTTGTTGTTGGCGAGTGCGACGAGCAGCGCCCCGAGGCTGTAGACGTCGCTGGCGGCACTTGGCACTTGGCCGGAAAGCACCTCGGGCGCGGTAAACATCCACGGCAGCGACGTCAATGTGTCGAAGTGCACCATCGTCGCGCTGACCAAGTAAAAATCCACGAGCTTGGCCCGGCGTTGCGGCGTCAGCATGATGTTGCTCGGGTGTAGCGCTCCGTGGACGCACCCGCGTGCGTGGAGGTAGGCGAGGCCATGCGCAACGTCGGCGGCGATCTGCAGCGACTCGTTCTCGTGCCACGCCGGACTTTCGGTGAGCCACGCGGCGAGCGCGCCGGCTTCAAAAAACTCGACCACGATCTTGGGCCGGTGCGACGTCGCATCGGCAATCGCCAAGACGGTCGCCAGCTGTGGCGACTCGAGCCTAGAGCGCACGCACATCAAAGCAGTGGGAGAGCATGGGTAGTGTACACGAAGAGCGACTGCATCTCGCGGCCAAATGCCTCGGCGTCGACCACGTGGAGTGTCTTGATCGCGCACGGACGGCCGTCGAGGAAGCCTTTCTGCACCACACCGTACGCGCCGGCGCCAATGTCGGTAAGGATCACGAGCTCGTCCGATGCAATGCAGGGCACGGCGCGTTGATGGTACGCGAGCTCGAAATGCACTTGGCCGCTGGGCGGTTGGAGACGCCGCCAGCCCTGTATGGCCGCCGGCGGCGATAGCTCGATGCGCAAGCTGCCGACAAGGACATCGTCGTCGTCGCTGCCGGCACTTGTGCCATAGACGCAGAGATGCACGGGCGCGGCGACGTCGAGGACGTCCAGTGTCATGACGTGGTGCCAGCTGGGCGCGTTACCGCCGCCATAGTCGGGCGGCGACCGATACGTCGCATCGAGATACGTGAGGACGAAGTAGTAGCCGGCTGTCGCGGCCAGCGGTGTCAGGTCCATGGCCTCGACGACCACCAGCGCCATCTCGAGCCCATCGAACGTCATCGGCCGTGGCCTTGCATCCGGATACGCACAACCCGACGCCTGCATTCTTGCATAGTATCCGGATACTATACGTGGCACGCCCTCGTTGCGAATGGCGAGTACCCTTTAGGATGTGGGGAGATAACACTTTGTGCCTTTTAAAATCGAAGAGGAGAAGGGAAAAGGAAGAAGGAAGTTCGACGCTCAAAAGGCGCGATCAATGTCCCTTCGTTGTGGCGGGCGTCCCACTGGCAGTGGCGCGATCGCCATGGAGTGCTCCATTTCATCGCGTATACAAATAT